TTTAGCGAGGGTCCTGTATGCATCGTATAATGATGTTTTTTCTGCGATAATCACGAAACAACTTCCATCATCCCTAAGGATATCGTATATGTTCTGGAACGCAGTTCTGTCAAATCAACATAAAAAATAAATACATTAGCGAAATTTATATATCAGCCGAAAAGTTTTAATATATATAATTGTAGGCGTCGAGTCGCCGTCGTATTGATTATGAGGTGTGCGAAAATAAAATATACATGCAAAACACAATGAAAAGATCAAACCACAATGGGTTTAGACTTTACTTTAAATCCATTTTTAACAAAAAATATAACCTCCAGAATGAACTGAATAAGATTTTTATTACGTAATTAGGAACAAAATTATTCGACTTTATTTAATCTGATTTATGGCGCCAAAATTGGAATATGCTATATAGAGTATAGAAAATTATCTTGACTAACGAATTATCTAACACAAAGTTATGAGAACTTCTTGGTGATACCAAAGTGGAATTTACCTTTGACCGAAATATAAAATTTTTTTAATGGCTTATTTCGCCTGTTATACGTTATATTCTGTGTCGATCAGAATAGACCAGTCTTCACAAGTAGCATCCGTTCACGAGTACAACAAATGGCGAGACATCGACACATTCGCCATATTGTAGCTGGGCCTGCCGCAGAGCAGGCGGTAAATAATAAACAGCTCAAATAGTCAAGTATTTCCTCCAACTTCGATTTTATTCCCTTTGGAGTATCTAATCTTGGTCCGTGGCGTTTAAGTAAATAGGCGTTAATTAAAGGTAAAATTAGGTAGGTAGTACCGATGACCCCAGAGCTCGCTTAACAAATAAAAATCGCAATACCGCGAAAGGTACGCTGCCTCAGGGACCAAACTTTTAAAACTTATTTTAAATTTCTTTTTATTAATTTTTAATTATTTATAATATTACTATGTAGGTTAAGAAATTTGTAAATACTATATATTAATTCTAACTAGGAAGATATAAGTTAAAGATGCAGTATAGATATTAATTGCGCACTTGAAAAAAAATATTACAGGCTGCCAATAATTATTACTTTAAGGCCCATTTACACGATGCCATTTTCTTGCCTCTAGCATACAATAATATCTACGCAATAAATGATTTGCATGGTCTAAACAAAACGTAACATTCTTGATCAATGGGAAAAGTTTCCTTTCAAAACTATTATTGATGTAAACAGCACGTACAATAATTTCTTACGATATTCTTGTACGCAATTATCTCTTCATTTGCAAACATGAGTGCAGTGAGTGAGGGTGTGTTGAATTAAATTAAATTAAAGTTAAATAAATTAAAATTATATTAAAAATTAATTTATTTAAATTTTTTATTTTGTTTGTTATTTCCTTCGGTCCGAAACCGTCAACTTTAATTCCTATGAAAATGCTGCTAGCGCAGCATTACGTGCATCGGTTCTTATAATTTACATTTTCAGTATCCCATAAACACTCATGACTGCGATAAATCTCAATGAACTTTATTATATCAGCAGAACTGAATTTAAACACCTTTTTACTCACATTCATACCTCTCTGTTGGATGGTTCTAATCTTTTAAGAAGACGAGCTCTGGTGGTGAAAATCTATTTAAAAAAAACCAATAATTTATGTTTATAAAGAGCCAAAGATGTTACACTATCTGCGTCTAGAATAGAAGTACTGAAAACAAAAAGCAGAAACTATCTTATATATATATTATCTTATCTATATAAAATTCAAACAGGTATTCTTTATATTCTAAACTAAAACTTTTTCTTTACATGTGACAAGTGTTGCCTGCCATTATTACATTAATATTTACATATTCTAACTCCAACACTCTCTTCTAAAACATTTAAGACTTGAATGAAAAAATTGTCAACGCAAATACGTGCAATACTTGCACGAAAGCGCCATTAATTGGTATACGCACGTACAAGCCTGTGTTTAGACAAGTCAAAACTTGAAAGCAATAATCTCCTTAAAATAGTTGCATTGGTGTAAACAAAAGGCATGTGCAATTACTTCCTTGTCAAAACTTGAATACAATAATTGCATTCAAGTTTTCAAGTGTAAACAGTTGTATACAATTCTTGAACGTCAATTATTGCGCTTCATTTATTGCATTCAATTATTGCTCTGGTATGTACAAGAAAATGGCATCGTGTAAATGGGCCTTAACTCTTGTTGGGATTGATTAGTAGACCAAAGTTTTTATTCCAGTCAACTATCTTTGCCAGTGTAGTTTTTGCTCTAATCAAAGCCATAAATTAGTACAGGTTAATATATTTTATTATTCTACAAGAGGTTCAAACACAACTCTGCTGATCTCATCAAAAAACCGTTCAATCTTCCCCCCACTCACCTTATATTAAAATGAATCTTTTGGAATATAGCAAATAGGTTTCAATAATTTATATAATTAGTGATTAGAAATGATAAATGTTTATCTTGAGTGCAAAAAACACACACTATTCATTCAATTATAACTTATTACGTTATTACAATAACTTATTAATTAATTTTTAATTAATAAAAGTTATTGTTATCAAGATAATACTTTATTGTAACACAATAGGAAGTACGTTAATTTAATTTGCATTTTATAATGTGGTATTAGGTCATGAATAAAACATATTTTATAAATACATATGTATTATTTTAATATGTTTTCTAAAAGCCCATTTAGTTAATTAATGTATGACAAAAGTACAAGTTACTTGACGAAGAGTATTCGATGGAATAAAATAAAAGATTTCGTGACGAAGTAGTCAATTTTTTTGTCGAATTTATCTTTCAGGCCTTGATAATCGTACAAAAATCTGTAAACATCTCGGCCAACAACTTTTTCCGATAGAATACAAATTCTGCTATCAGAACATTCTGAATATATATATACATATATATATAAACTGACAAGAAAGCTTTATATTTTTATTTTCTAAATTGAGCTAAACCTTTATCAAATTGTAGGTTTAAAAGAAGAACGACCCAATTACCCTATAAACCTTCAACCATAATTCATAAAATATTTTTTAGGTATTAATAGTGCCGTGCCAATGTCTGATACCTTTTTATTTAATTGCAAAAGTAAAATTTTAGATACTTAGATAAGATAGTTAAAATATTCGATAACGTATACATAATCCCGTGGAAATATCAACTAGGTACGTGGCCAATTTATTTCCTGGTACCAGTTAAAGTTTGAGAATAACTGAATTTTTGTATGACGCTTGGGAACGGAGTAAGATCGAAACTTTTGTATATTTATCTTACTCCGTAATTTTACCCCGTTTTTTGGGAAAAGATGGAAAGTTGAGATATTTGCTAAATTACTAAAAATAGCCGTATTTTGATGTCATTTCGTAACTAAGAACAAAAAACTGTAATTAAATATTCCTATGAAATAGTCGCACCTATCTTGTAATTAAAGTTACAGCACACGGGGTAAGATTAAATCACTTGAAGATTTTACGCCACGCACTCTGGGCGGCTAATTTCGAATGTGGTTTGGAACGTTAGAAACTGGCGGTTTTAATAAAAATACCAGCACTCAACTGGTGTTATAGAGGATTTTTAGTCTTACCCCATTTTTCATCTTGCCGCCACTCACCTTACTTAAAGCGATACAAGTTTAAGTGCGATGTAAATATGTCAAGGGGCCATAGGCTGACGGAGTCTATTTTAGGTTAAAAGTGTCAATTTTGTATTAATGATATATCTATATATTAAATAAATTTAATAAAAACCTGCTCAAACACAGAGTGCTTTGGGAAGACCGTGACTTACACGCCCAAAAAATGTAATACGTGTCAGGTATAGAAGGCTAAATACTTAGGTATAAAAAAAAGATAGATGCCGTGTAGCACGTACCATACATTAAAAATTACAATTGGGATGTACTTACTCTTTACGATGACACCAGTTTAAAGCAAAAAAGGAAATGGCATGGTGGAAACGTTCCCTTAGCTGATCGGGCAGCTCTCCCTCTATGTTAAGGGTAGTGAAATCAACACGTTCCGAAGCATAATGTTCATTTGCGAATCGTATCATATCTTCACTTATGTCACTGCCTGTCATTGTCTTGCAAGTAGGAATAAATTCTTTGAATATTTTTGATGTCAAACTCCCATCGCCACAACCAATGTCTAGGATCATTGAGTCTTTTTTCCAATTGATTATATTCATATATTCTTCTAGAATCAACATTGCACTAGTCTTCTGTAGACCATTTGATTTATTATACAATTTGACGTTAAACATTGTTCGTGCGTGCTTTCCGGCTAATTTCTGATGCGTTTGTGCAGTGGTCAGGTAGTAGAGCTTATATGATATCGACAGGATAAAGGCACATTCACATAACGTGAACAATAAAACGAAATGAGATAATTCAGAAAAATACGAAAATGATAAATTTAATTCATACTGTAATGTGTTGTAGCTTTATCTTATGCTAAAAATGCAAATTGCCTTGAATTTGCAGTTGCACAACGTTTGCCAAAAGAAAGACTCTAAAGTAATCAGCTGTTGTCGTGACTGTATTAAAAATAGTTGTTCAGTACACATGCGGAACCGTCAATGCAACTTGTTCCGACTGACAACCCTCACCTTCGGCTTCGCCTCGGCTCGGGTAGACATTTGTCGGAACTTTTTGCAATGACAGGCTTTCCGTAATCGTAATGAAATATACTATTTATTGAATATCTAGTAAAGTAAGGCGTTAACGGTTATCGTTTTACACGTTTGACGTTTAAAATGTACGCATATATTTTGGATTGTGATTGTCATTATTATGAAAGAGATTAAAATATAGGAAACATATGTATAATTTAAAAAAGGGTTTATCGTTTTATAACAAGACCTCGTTACATTAAATACAATGCTCAAATGTATTGGCTGATTTTTTAAATTTGCTTATTATAAAAGCATTAGCCATGAAATCACCAGTTTTGATAAATAATGATTTAACAATATACGCATTCTATATAGCCACGATGTGGTGTCTATCATTTAGCATCCTGTTTGCGCCGATTCTTGCATTAAATATGCAAAATCCGAGGAATTTTGTAAGTAATATTACTCATATTTTACACGCTTTATGTATGTATGTATGTAACCGACTCCTTCGGACTCGATTTTGACCAACTTTAAACGGACAGATTTTATTCAAATTTTGCGCACCTGGCAAAGATGACAATGCAATAATCCGAAAAAAAAATTAACTAAAAAATAAATAATAGTTTAAAAAAACTAAAACACGCAAATGAACAATAATTCCTAATTTAGGCTGAAAATGGTCATGAACAAAAAATACTGGTATTATTGTGAAAAAGCGTGGGTTGCTCTGTGCCATATTTTTCGTCTATAGACGTCACTTTTTAGTTTGATGTGCTTTAAAAGCGTGTTTTTTAGTTTTTTTTAACTATTATTTATTATTATTAGATTACGCTTACTACACATTACAAAAGACGTCTTTAACGGATATAAACGATTTATAAAGAGCAGTCTGGGCGTAGTGGCTTCAGCATGCGACTCCCGTCTCTCAAGTCGTACTGCTCGTCTGCTGCTGTTGTAACCTATGGACTTTCTATATGCGCATTTAATACTCGCTCGTATGGTTAAGAAAAACATCGAGAGGAAACAGATACAGAAAGATGAGGGCCAGAGTTAAGTTTGTTATTATTAAACGAGTTTTACTTTATTTTTGTTCCTGCCTCAGGAGCATGATTTAATTAATAGAATATAATATTTCACTTCATATCAAAAATAGCACTCACGTATAATAAAATAACTTATGAGATGCTGAATTGCTATTTGTGCTATTAATTGCTTATTTAAATAATTCTGTACTCTTTGAACAGTGATTGACTAGGCCCTCTGGTTTTAACTTCAGCTTTTAAAATCAAGAAAACTTAAAGTTTCATGACTCGACATTGTGAGTGCTTTTTATAGTCGTGGTCTAACGAGGCAGTCTCTCGCTAACTATAAGAATTGACGATTATTAACAAAGTTTTATTTAAATACACTGGTATGTATTATCATAATCATCTGTGCTTGTTGTGTAGTAACTAAACTCCTCCTAAAAGGCGCGCGGGACGGAATTTGATGAATTTTTTTGTTCATATTCAAGTGGATTTGAGAATGGTCATATTTACGATTCGATGACTTTTTTAAGTTTGAAATTTTTATATTTAAGATGTGTGTAGTACGTCAGTCGTGTCCGCTGGTACACTCATATTTGTATCTTTTCAGGGTCCATATGATCCGGTATGGAAAGATTACGAGCTGTGTAAGGGACCCAAGTTTAAAAATGCTTCTGAGACTGATGTCGTCGTATTTCAACAAGGCAAAGACTTTTATGGGACTTTTAAATTTAACTTTTTAACTCGCAGTTTAGTGGATGAGGTCAGTGACTTATTCACGCTATATAAAGTAACTTTATCAGTAGTGCGAAGGGAAGATTGTAAGCATTAGAAAATATTATTATTAAATATATATCGTTATTACAAAGAACTACATCAAAATATATGTTGTCAGATATTTGCGTTAACAAACAAATAAAAAGGCATTTACTTTATTATATTATATATATAATATTATCTTTATAGATATTTTATTACACGAATAATTAGAACGATAGTTAAAAAAGTCCAGCTAAAGTTTTCAGTCATGTCAAACAAAGATACTAAAAACTTAATTTTCCTAATTCTTTGGTGTCTTATACTATTCTACTAAGAGTAAGATTATTTCTTCAGATAAGACTATGGCTCTATTCAATAGTCGGCGAAACAAGAAAACAACTGTGGTCACACAAGTTATCAGATCCCTGTAAAAATTTTGTATTTGCTGAACTGATACAGGAGCAGCTTAATTCGGCAAAATGCATTGTTGAAAAGGTTTGTTACTAATATTTTACATGTCAAAATACAGTCATATGTTCTTTAATAAAAAGCCAGCCGTGCGATTATGTTAATCCGTGAGTTCACCTCGCAGTAACAACGCTCCCTTCCATTTTTGGAATGTCATGGTATTCTGTTAAGCAATTTCACATTACGTCTTGACAAGCGGAGGGAGCTTGTAGTTAATTGTTTATCAGAATGCCAAATCGTATAATGACTGCTTTAAGACTAATTTGAGCGCGACCGCCGCTGCGAAACCGCTGTGAGAGTTCGAAAAGTGAGTTACAGAATCGCAAGGCTATTATATTTACATTAACTGTACATCGTTTGAAACATAGACAAATACCACAAATCTTAGACTTGTTATCGTTGAAAAAAGAATTAGCATTTTTGACATCATTTTAAGTACGCTTAAAAATCCATAGAATATATAATGTATACTAACAGAGAAAATAAAAATATATTAAATAACAGTTAAAATGTTATTCAATAAACAAAGTCGTTTTCGTATTTCGGATGTAAATAATTATTTTTGCCTCTTGATTTATTATAAAATTAAGATTTAGTAGCTACTGGATTCTAAGCGTAAAATTTGTTAGATATTTATTTAAATGATCACATAATATATACCAAAAATTCATCGTTTCAGATACTTTGCCGTTCTTCTCAGTTTAGTACTAGACCTGTTGGATACTTATTTAAAAAAAATCTAATTACATAAATTATGAATATCATACATGTTATATTGGTTTCAGGCAAGCTACAATAAAACCGTGAATTTCACGGAAACAACAAGAAAACTTATTGGACCATCATTTTTCTACGGAAATTATTCTATGAAAGTTGTTATGTCTTCGAAAAATGCAAATATTTTGTGTTTGCTGTTAAATGTTGAATTAGTTAATAAAAGTAATTTGAACAAGTAGATATTTAAGTTTTATTTTAAAATATATATGTTGTGTAGGTGTTGCAGCCAATTAGCTTAATTAGCCGTTCACTGCCTAGCCTTTTAACTAAATGGCGCCGTTTAACTAGCGGCCTGGAACACATATATATATAGCCGTAGCGTTTGTTACAACATTTAATGAAAAATAATAAAATAAGCTAATGCTTAGGCCATTTGTTCGATAGAGTTACTATTTGCCAGAAATAAAAAGATGAAACATGTGACATAAAAATATTCTTTTAAAAATAAATTACTTGAGTCAAATTCACATTATTATTGTCACTACACTCTTCCATTGTACTTGTTTTTTTTCATGAAACTTTGGAAAACGCCGTGAATGTTGTGGTTTGCCGAGGCGATATTGACAGTTTGAAGAGTTTCGTTTCTAGTTTGAGAGTGGCAGAAAGTGGAATTAATTTAAAATTAACAGTCAACAGGCTAGGCAAGTAATGAAACGTCATCGATCCAAGTCATTTGCCTAGCTGTTTGACCAACTGGCTGAATATCTTTCAAGCCGCTAGTTAATCGGCGCCGTTTAGTTAATACGCTAGGCTGTTAATTGAACGGCTAACCAAGCTAGTAGCCTAGTGGATTCAGCGTGCGACTGTCATCCCTGAGATCGTAGGTTCGATCCCCGGCTGTGCACCAATGGACTTTCTTTCCATGTGTGCATTTAACATTCGCTCGGCTTGCCTTAGGCCCTTTCTCCACTGCTCCGGTCCGGCGTCGGATACCGGAATGAGCCATGAGAAAAATATCGGAAGGCCGGATTGCGCTTCTTCACTATATCCGATCCGACAATTATCGATACTTGTATATTTATCATGCAACACTTATATTAACTAAAACTCATATACTTTATTTTATTAGTAAAACGTTCTAAATTCTGAATATTTTATTGCCCTGGCAAGTTTATTACTTTTTTTATTTTGTCTATCTTAAAATATTATAATCTACCTTATAAACAGTTCACTAATACTATGAAAAATAAAAATAAAAAAAATAAAAATAAAATATGTTTATTATGGAACATAAGATACATGTATCACTTATTCCACGTCATTAAATTTGAAGGCATCCCTACTCATCGGCAAAGAAGACAGAGGGTGTAGGCCGAGAGAAAAATCCGGCGTAAAAAACTCTCGGTATAGATATATAAATAAAAAGCAACATAATTTGGTTTCGTTCAGGTTATTCAGATTCTTTCAAATTAAAGAAACTATAAATAAACCTGTGAATAAATAATTTATAACCTCTTGGATACTTGGACCGATAAAACACCGCGTTCCGATCTAGCAAGTTATCGGATCGTTAAAAACCGGATGCCGGAGTAGTGGAGAAGTACGTAAGTACTGTTGTGAGTTTCTAAATCGGATCGGTAATTAACGTTTGCCGGACCGGAGCAGTGGAGAAACGGCCTTAGACCCAAAAAGTCAAAAGCGTGCGTCTGGCGCACAAGGCTGCACAGAAGGCTGATCACCGACTTGCCTATTAGATTACCAAATGATTATGAAACAGATACAGAAATCTCAGACCTAAAAAGGTTGTAGCGCCATTGATTTATTTTTTAATTAAGCTAGTTGGCTGGGACATATGCATTATAATTATTTTAATTACTTGCAACTACCAAATATATAATTACGGACGTCAAATAGACTCTTAATGACGTACTTTACATAATGTCAAACAATATCAAAATTACAAACGTAAATTAATCAGTAATAAAGCTTTTTAAAATTTAGGATTGATTTGCACCAATTAAAACAATTTGCACGACGCATAACTTTGCGATTAAAAAGAGTGGCGGAAAGTTTCTTGCCAGTTCCTACTGCCCGCTCTACACCCTTGACTTGCGAACTGGTAGTAAATGTAAATTTAGAATCAATTGAACATCTTTTCTGTGACATTCATAATCTACTTGTTCACGTATATACTTTAGTATTTTGAGTTTGAATAACACAATATTCTAATAGACCTTTAAGTCTTATTAATTAAATATTGTGAATAAAAAATAAATAAAAGGCAAGGCTCCGCTTAAGTGGATGCGTGATGTGCTGACGGGGTTTGTATTATGAAATTGTGATATGTCAAATCAAATCGTCTATATCAGAAAACTACTATTTGTAAATTTCTAAATTACGTGATATAAAGTAAGAAACTGGCCATAATTATATACAACACTCCGAGTGTGTTACATAAATGATTTTTTATTCGTCTAACTGTTCCAAACAGCTACTTTAAGCATATTAATTATATTTGCTATATTGTAATATAATGTATAACGCTGTAAACCACTTTTAATAAAATCTAAGACAAAAACTACTTTGAACAAACATTAGCTGCATTAACTTATTTATAATATATAATAACCCTTAAAAAAAATATGTTCTCTGCAGCAGCTCGTATATATAAATTCTAGAGAAAAGGGCAAATTAGACATATGTACACAGAACACACATAAAATAATAATGCTCCTGCACTGTAGTATATTATTATAACATTAGGAATTATAATAGCGTACATTGGGAGGTAAATTAAGCAATTGTGTGTCGATATAATCTAAAATGGTCAACCGTTTATCAAAATAACCTTATAAAGATGAATAGTAACTAGTTCATAAATACTTTGTCGAAGCAAACATTATATTGAAGTTTTGAAAACTATTACTCTAATAGAGAATGATGTTGATATTGTATATTTTTGGGATTATCGTGTCGAACATAATCTATGGATTCGAAATGGCCAAGGATGAAAATAATTTCGTAAGTAGACGTTTCAAGTACAAAGTTCGTACACGTTAATCATTAGTATTGTGCAAGTTATTAGAATACAAAAACAGATTATGTATGTTATACTCGTATATTTGGAGGAACTAAGGGTGAAATCTCTAAGATAGAGCAAGACAAATGAAAGCTCAAAGAATATGTTACCAAATATAATACTGTACCAAATAAAATACGTTTGATTTAGTGCGTTAGAGCTCCTAAATCAGAATATAACTGCCCAGTAAAGTAAACTTCTACATAATGTTCCCCCTACGACCAACTCCGAACCCCTAAATATCGATTTAAAACCCCGAAGGTTTTTGTAATACATTCGGTTTGAGAAGTTATTTGGAATATCCATTAAAATACATTTAAGTAGTATATATATATTGGCGTATTATAACTTTTACATTTCTGTTAAAGCCACGCTTGTAGTTCATATTTGGTTTAGTTTGTTGGTTTAATTCGTTTTTAAAAAAACATAAATAAATTTCTTATATAAATTACCCCCTTAAAATTCCCTTAAATAAATGTACCTCCCCCCTCCCCTAAAATCCCTTAAATTTTGGGGGAAAACCCCCAAGTTGGCCATACTGTTACTCTGTCAATAGGCAGTGGCCTACCTGCGGACATCCAGGGGCACGGCGACGTTCTACCCTTACTTGGTTTAAAACACCATGCTTACCTTATCTCGCTCTGCCCATATTCTGTAACTTCCAATAGCGGTACAGAGTCCGACGTTTTTGTATTTCGATGTAATTCTCTCAATATTTGTGTGTCCCAAACTTACCTTAACTAGGGTTGTTTGCGCGGTTCAAAAATTCATTACTCATTACTGAATAGCCGGATCACTAGAGAGTAGCGCTGTTCCCGTTTGTCATTTCTTGTCCGAGCAAATTACGGATTGAATGCCCTCCCCTCTCTTTCAGAGGGAGTTCATTCCTCATGAATCATCAGGATCGGGATTTATCAGAACTCCTGAGAAATCAGGACTCTTCAATAAAGAGCAATTGTGGCATTATTATGGTCCCTGCATCTTCTTCACTTGATGAAAGCATCAAGTGGAATGCAAACAAATGCAGCCTGTAGAGGCAAAACGTCAAGTAAATAGAAAAGGCTTTATATGGTTATAGAAACATTTTTATATCATTAATTTGTTTGCACCGACTATTAACACTTAGACAACACAAATAAAAACAAGAGAAAAAAGAAATAATAACAATTAATGAATAGAAGTATTGTAATTTAACAAATAACATACAAATTTTTATTATTGTACATTTGTATTATTTTAAATATTTATACTTACAGGGACCATATGACATTAGATGGACTAGATATAATATATGTCCAGGATCCAAACCAAAAAATTCGACTAACATAACATTCGCGTTGGAAAAGGAAAATGATGATTATTTTGCCAAACTAACAATTGACGTCTTGGTTAAAACTTCAATAGATGAGGTAATTGCTATTAATTGTATATATAAATTATAATTGTATATTGCTACGAAGTCCACGCTTTTGTAAATGTTTTGACAAATCAGTCTTGTGGAACATTTTATGACTCGTAACGATTACGATGTGCGTCATCAATGTGTTGGAGACAATAGGATATGAACCCACCTCCTTAGATTTCGTTAATTTTACTCATTGCTAATGGCAAGAATAGTCTTATTTCCTTACTTAGATAATTAATTCTGACTATGAATAAAGGGAATATAGAGTCTAGACGACAAACAGTACAATTTAAATAAATAAAACACTCGAATAAATGACTTCTTCGGTTTTTACAGGTAAAAGTGTGGGTTTACAAAATGAAAAATGAAAGCAAAAGTTTGCTGTGGGTGTACAAGTCAAGCGATGCTTGCAAACACTTTATTTTCGGTGAGATAATTAAACAGCAATTAAATGCCAGAAGTTGTGTTATCGAAAAGGTATTTTAATAACTCAAGTTATCAATTTTTTTTATTACATCAGTAATAATTTATCTGATGGTGTTTAGTGGAGGTTGCGATGTTGACCAAGCCTTCAGATAAATTATAAATATAAAACCCTTTACTCATTTGTTTTAATCAGTATATTTTTGTATCCTACCCGCAGATATAGCTTAACAATTATTATTGACCGTCTGTTTCATTAATATTATAAATTTCCCAATTTCATATTAAATATTATACAATTGAAATTTTTAAACTTTAATTATATAATATTTACGGCATACTGCCTGTACTTCGTAAGTTCTCTATACTAATCCTCAAAAAAGTATTAGAAATATTAATAATAATTGGTGTATTCATTGTTTATAACATTTAAAAACATTATTTAATTACACTTTGCAGGGTACAAGTAATATAACACTAAATTTCTCGGAGATAACGAAAAAAATGATTGGTTCGTCATTTTTTTACGGAAATTATTCTATGAAGTCCATTGCCACGTCGAAAAAAGCGAATTTCCTATGTTTTATTTTTTATGCTGAATTTTATAAGAAAAATGTGTAATAAAATTATTTTGATATGTTATTTCAATATGTTTTGTTTTAAAAAAAGAGGATGAAGCCGTAAACTTTGGTACACACTGCAGGATGCATACATACTGCAGGCATTATTAGTGTTTAAGGTACTTTTATTTTGTTAAAAATTGTATTAGCTAGTTTTTAAATTAAGCTTTATTTAATATTCGTTTTCTAATTAACTTGTTGACTACATTTTTGGTTGTGTTCGATATTTCTACGGGAATAGAACCCACAGGTTCCATTGCTACTTCACCAATTGGTTAACCAAGTGGCTAGACACATTTATACACAATTAATAAAGTTTCACAAAATAAAAGAAGAGAAGAGGTTAATAGAATGTAATATGTTTGTGTATTTCAATAATTTTATATTATATTTCAATTTCAGAACAATTACTATTGCTAAAAAACCAAATGCAGGCTTTATATTTTTTTTTCAACATATAAAACGAGTATTTGCACGTTATGGACATTATCATTAGTTGATTTCTTGTAATTGTACTTTTCAGTGTCAAACATCTGCATTTCTCGGCTTAAGTCTATAAAAAAATCGTCATATAACTCATCCGGGATTTTGAAAGGCACCACAGACATTATTCCACCTGAAAATTATTGTTCATTTATTTATTTGCATTTTCCCAAAGACTAAAAGGATGAAAGTAACTTGTATATTGTATACACCCTTTTCGGATACGTGTTTAAGGCCATTGTATAACATTGAATAAATTGATCTGCCTTGCGATTTTGTAACTCACTTTTCGAACTCACACAGCGGTTTTCGCATCGGCGGTCGCTCTCAAATCAGTCGTGAAGCAGTCATTTTATGATTTGGCATTCTGATAAACAATTAACTGCAAGCTCCCACCTTATCAGAATGCCAAATCATAAAATGACTGCTTCACGACTGATTTGAGAGCGACCGCCGATGCGAAAACCGCTGTGAGAGTTCGAAAAGTGAGTTACAGAATCGCAAGGCAGATCATCAATAATATTAAGGATTGATCTAACTATATGAACTGAGAGAGAAGCTTAGGAGAAATAGCAAGGAACGAGTCAAGCAAAACGTCAAATTAAAATGTGAGTTATAAGAATTGTGCTCATTGACCTTTTGAGCGGCCGATTCTATAATTTGGTAGGTATTACCAAATTATAGACTTAACTTTTTAATTTTGGCTGCACACAAAAGTGATCAGCACTTAAAAAATCTACCTACCATACAGTGTCGTACTATATAACATTGCATCATATTTGATAGAATTTTTTTTGCAAAATATCCACGCAGAATAATATCTGTACAGAGACCGACACGCAGATGAATCGTGTATAATATACCTTCATAGTACACTTATTTTATGAGACGGTATAGTGAGATTTATAACAAGCTCTATTATAGGTTTAATTGTACATTCGTGGCTTATGTTTGTTTTTTATTTTGCTAATCTAAAGTCTAAAGTTGATAAAAATGTTCTCGAATTTGTTACCGTGTGTGTGTCTCTTTCCCCATTCCACAAAACCTACCTTTTAAATCCTCTAGATTTTCGTACTCGTGAAATATTAATTTGTGTTCCAATTTTTTTATAGTAAATCCAATTTTGCTTAATAATTGCTGCATTTCTTTAAGGGAATCCTGAAAAGAGTATATTTTTAATTAATCGGAAATTTGTGGTAGGTTCCAATTGTAGGTGGAATTCCAGGCTTTTAATATTCTTGAGTTTGATATACAGGCATAAATCACGCTTTATCTTTACTCAGAATCTTAATCGTTTCTTTACAACTAAAAAGAGATGTAGGATTTGTTATGTATATATTATTATATAACTGCAACACTCATCACTGAGATTATAGTCCCCCGTCTATGTCAAGCAGAGAAGAGAATCTACTTGGCTATTAGAAAAAACAAATAATCACAAAAAATATACATAAATCTAGACCAAGACTTAAAAATTTTTTTTTTATATAAGATAGTGGCACAATAGTACATAAAGGAATTGAGAATAAATTAATTCCATAAACCACAATCGCTCCAACATGGCGGGCCTCCTAGCAATAAATAATAATAATATTAATAAACACGACTACGGTAATTTTTATTAAGAAATAATAATTAGTCTTTGCTAGAGTGATATCAATTATTACCTGACTGTCATGGTATGGAGATATATATCTGTCGACGTCAGTAACCCATGGCTTCCATTTTTCTGCTTTAGCAAGGGTCCTGTATGCATCAAACAATGATGTTTTTCCTACGACAATCGCGAAACAACTTCCATCGTCCCTAAGGATATCGTATATGTTCTGGAACGCAGTTCTGTAAAATAAACATTTTAAAGCTAAATAGATGTTTCCGCCGAAATAGGTTAAGTGAAAATAATTTTAAAAAGTCGAGCCACCGTCCAGCCTTGCGATTCTGTAACTCACTTTTCGAACTCTCACAGCGGTTTTCACATCGGCGGTCGCTCTCAAATCAGTCGTGAAGCAGTCATTTTATGATTTGGCATTCTGATAAGGTGGGAGATTGTAGTTTATTGTTTATCAGAATGCTTGTATATGAGGTGGTCTTTAGGAGGTGTCGAGTTGTGTATGAAAAGGCCTGTATTTACATTGATTAGTGCGAGTGCAAGTGATTAGTAATTGAGGATGATTAGTGCAGGTGTATAGTTCAAGTAGTGTCCAATTCTTGTTTAGTGGCTTTGTTAAGTAAATTCAGTTGTCAATAGTTTGGCAGGCCCGCTGCGAGTGAGGGGGAAGGGAGGGCGCACGCGAGGTCACTACTCGCAGTTCACTCGCAAAAAAATATAAAACGCTTCTAATCATTTTACTACGCAGCCAACTAATCACTAATAGTAGTAGAAAAAAGTACACTAAAGGTGCGCTTACACGGGCAACTAAAATTGCTCAATTCCAGTCAATACTCGTCAACTATGACGTCACGACTACATCAAGCAATTTACGGCAACGGCAACAAGCATCAATACTGCGCAATACAATATTGAGCGATATGGCGCAACTTCATCAACAAGGCAATACTGTCCTACACGAGCATTTCAGTATTCGCTCGCTATGGACGACATTGTTCTTGCTGCGGCGGCTTGTAGCTCTTTTTATATGATAAAACAAAAAGAAAGAAAAGGAATAGGCGTATCTGGGTGCGATCGTTTTTGGCAAAGAGGCCGCAATTTTCATTGTGTAATGGCGCGTCTAAACGGGCCATGTTTTGCTGCAATTGATGGCTGCAACACTGTGGCCGGCAACATTGCAAACAATAGCAGCCACACTATGCAATATTGCAGTAATGTCCCGGCCATATAGCCAAACATGTTTTGTATAGCCACATATGGCCGATGTTGCCCCGATAGGTGGCCGGACGATCGCTAGGCTATCGAATTCAACTGCAATATTGCACGGCCAGTTCTCTTGTTGTTTCAGTCACTCTCTTTGTTATGGCATAGTGTATCCTTTTCTACGCGACCTGACGTTTGCTTTGAGTGAAGTGTGCCTGTTGCTTTATTCTGTGTTTTGCGATCAGCTGTATTTGACGTTAGATTACTACGTAAAAATGACTACTTTTGACATTCTAGTTCTTGAATAATTTATTATCTAGACTCAAATTGTCTACAGTTTCACGCCTATTTAAGTAAGGTCGAATCCACAATCTCTTCTTTTTCTGTTTCTTTTTTAAAACAATATAAGCTGCTGCGACAAGTGTGATTTCGTCAGCCATTGTTGCCGGTTTGTGTAGCCCGTTTAGGAGTCTGCATCATAGGCCATACTATTGCAACACATTGCCCAGCCATAGATTGTTCGGCCATCAGCTGCATTAAAATATTTTGTAATGGCCGGGCAATTAGTGGCCAACAGTGCAGCCATCAATTGCAGCAAAACATGGCCCGTTTAGACGCGCCATAAAGAATTAGATGATATATTATTCAAAAACATTACTAGAATGTCACGAACAGGCTTTGAATTACTTTTGAATAAAGTAATTAGAAATTATTATTATTTAGATCTCTCGCTCTCCCCGCGGAAGCAAGACGGCAAGCCGCAAAACAAACAAGTGCGAATGAGACATATACAAAAATTGCTAGGAATTTCCAAGTCCATTGGATATTCGTCAATTCGTATCTGCGACATTGAGCGATATGAAATATCTGGAGCAATTAGAAGCAATATCGCCGAAATAATTTATTGAAATTTATTGAATTTATTGAAATTGCTCCATTAATTGCTCCAGATCGGTCCATTCGTGTCGCCGAGCAATTATTGCCCTCGTGTAAGCGCACCTTTAATAATAGTAAAAGATTTACTCTCATCATTTTTCCCTTACGCGACAAAGGAAGTATAACTTCTTAATTAATTAATCCCTTTTTAACAAAAAATATAACCTTCAAAATGTACTAGTAAATTCTATGTATGTGGAATAAGATTATTATTACCAAGTTAGGTTCAAAATTATTAATATGTGAGCAGTGTTGGACTAGTGGCTTCAGCGTGCGACTCTTACCCCCGAGGTCGTAGGTTCGGTACCCGGCTGTGCGACAATGGACTTTCTTTCTATGTGCGCATTTAAAATTCGCTAGAACGGTGAAGGAAAACACCGTGCGGAAACCGGCTTGCCTCAGAGCCAACAAGTTGACGGTGTGTGTCAGCCACAAGAGGCTGATCTCCTACTTGCCTATTAGATTGACAAATGATCATGAAACAGATACAGAAATCAGAGGTCCAGACCTACTAGTTTATTTTTTATCTTAAGTTTTACATTTTATTAGTTTAAGTTTTACATTTTGTGTACGTTGTTATAGAATCGTTTCGAATTGAGCAATCCGTACGAAACCTACCGAGTTATCGATTAGAGATAGTTATACGGTGTGAAATGTATAAAATAAAACAAGGGACTTCATTAAAAATCTATTATGATACACTTAATGTAAAGATTTTTTTTATGATTCAGTCAAATTGGAGGGCGTTATACATTCAAGTTAATTCGATA